GGCGAAATGCATAATTTACCCTAAGAAATAAGGTTTTGGTGTGGAAGGGGTACTGGCATTGACTTTTAACACCGGCGAGTGGAGAGATGAGGGTGTAAGTTTAGGATGGGAAAATCTGAAGTTAAAAACTAGCACCCACCACGCAAGAGTTGACTGAATTTGATTTGCCTTTACGTCTCACCTGGCAGTGGAGAAACTACTTCTCCAATAGTAACCATCATTTACGTCTACGACAGTTATAATCTACTTGAGATATATATCACCAGCCTATCAGGATACCCTTCCATGAGTTACAGTCATTTCGATTTTCATTAAAAAGAGTCGTAACCATTTTATTGGATAATAGACGGCTGTGATTGAGAAGCTGGACTGTGAACTAGTGGCGGATAGGCTCTGCATTCGGAGTTGGGTGGAGGATGTTATATGGCCATTCAATATTTGATGCAAAAGAATTCTGAATGGTACCCAACAATGTGCAAGTATGAAGCTGTTTATCCGACTGATGCATTATGTTAGTTTGTTAAACTGAAGATATGAAAGGAAATGATGCCTAGTCTTTTGAAATTAGATGCATTTGTTCCCTTTAATTAAGTCATTGAGTCTCTTTTGCAATGCAGTAAATTTAGGGATGAATACGAGCAAATTGCTCACCGACAAAATCTAACAGTACCTGCTTGCGCAAGTATGACACACGGAATTGGCAAATAAGGCAACAGTATCAATAATATCACAACAAGGACTGGATGATTGATGATGGAAGATAGGACATGTATACATAAGCAATATCTTGACGTAAGTTAAGTTTCAGAGAGTACCAATATATTGTTAAACAGAGAAGCATTATCAAGTGGATCATCATTAGAAAATGTTTGAGCCATGTATTGTAGGGATAAAGGCTTACTAGGACATTTCATCTTCAATTATCAGCTTTAGTTTCATAAGGTAAAGGGTAGATGGTGTAAGAACTATGGAGTCATTATTATAAGTTTAGGTAAAGAAAACATAAAGTTCGGGGAGAAAATTACTGATTTCAAAAGGGTTCACCTTCACTTCATATAGTGCAAGAAACTAAAGTCCAAGAAGCATAAAGTTGCTCATTTGGTTCTATATATAGCAAGTCAGATTATTACAACCAAATAAATCAGAGGGTAAACACTAATATGTTCTAACATAAAATAGAAAAATTAACTTCAGAAAAAAAAACTTATTCAGGAAATTGTAGAACAGGAGAAAATGTCTAGTGTGTTCTAGATTTGTTTGTTTGGTTTCAATAAATACCTGAACACGCTGCACAAAAAGGCCATCACAATCATATTTATACATTAAAAGGAATAATAACTGATTAAATCTCTTTGCAAACTTACTTTCATACTGGAGTATAACCTTCCTGATTAGCGGATTATTCTTTAATATTGCTATTGATATTTATTCTTCTTCCAAAGTACTTCTGCCTGGATTAAACTTTCATGGATGTTTAAATTTTTGTGCCCAGTAAAAATAAGAACAATTTTAATTTATTTTACATGCTATTAAATTTTAATTAAATCAGTTGTAAAGCAAACTGAGTGTTTAGATTATTTGTTAAGCAAGCTAAAATCTCAGATAAATTAATCAGGCTTTAGTAAGGAAAGCTGATCCAGAAGTGATAGATATGCTCCCAAGATCAGTGGATATTGTGGTTGGTGATGTTGGTGAACCTTCGACCCTGAGGGCTGCTGTTGAAGGATGCAACAAGATCATCTATTGTGCGACTGCACGATCAGCTATAACTGGGGATCTCAACAGAGTTGATTACCAAGGAGTGACCAATGTCACTAAAGCATTTCAGGTTTGCATTCTATAGCTGAGTTATCCGCATTAATACCTCTAAGATGCTAATATGCACTGTACTTGGCTTCGCTTGGTGATTATAAACTTGCAGGATTATAACAATCAGCTAGCACAGCTAAGGGCCGGAAAAAGTAGCAAAAGCAAGCTTTTACTTGCTAAATTCAGGTCTCCTGAATCATTGGAAGATTGGGAAGTTCGGCAAGGAACCTATTTTCAGGATGTAGTTGCTACCAAATATGATGGAGGAACAGATGCAAAATTTGAATTTACAGAAACTGGTGAAGCTGTATTCTCAGGTAAACTTGCAAATATACTCCATAATTTTGCCAAATTTGACCAGCCATTATTTTTTTCTAAGGTTAATTGCATACAAACCCTTGTACAATGGCCCAATTGCAGATAGACCCCTTATAGTTCTATTGTTGCAGACAGGCCCCCTGAGTGATTTTTCTTTACTCCTTTACCCTTATAGAAAGAGAATTATTTTTTGACAAATAGACCCCCTGAGGGTTAAAAAATGTCAAAAAAAAAAAAAAATCACTTGTGGGTTCTATCTGAATGAAAGACCTACATGGGTTCTATCTGCAATTTAGTGATATTATAGAGCGTCTATCTGCATTTAACCCTCTTTCTAGTGACGCTTCAATCTGATAACCTTAAATTCAAGAAAGGTGAACTTGTCTTGTATGCAACATCAATTATTTGAACATCCTTTCACTTACCTCTTAAATGTCGTATATATGAGGAAGTTACACATTTTATTTTCCTTTTCTTTTTGCTCCACTGCAGGGTATGTTTATACCAGAGGTGGCTATGTTGAACTCTCAAAGAAGCTTTCCCTTCCATTAGGTTCCACTCTAGACAGGTAATGGGTGCTTTCTTTTGTGAGTTTGAATGAGTTATTTGTTGGGGATTCGAAACAATCAATCGAACCCTTGCCCTTCCGGACCTTGTATTGAAAGTAAGAAAGTAGGAAATTCACCACAAATTAGATCAAAGCTTGTAAAAGAGTAAAGGAGATGAACACACCAGATTTAACGAGGTTCGGCAAACGTGCCTATGTCCTCGGGAGCAACACCACACAATTCTCTTATTAATTGAAGAAGAAATACAAGCTCTCAAACTAGGATTTTATCTCTCTGAGATTCTCTCTCTTTCTACAGTTAAAAAGTTCTCTTTTTTGTATTCTATCAAACCCTAAAAACGTTTAGATATATATAGAGTCCTGGAAGAAACATAATCCAAAACAGATAAGAAAACTGGCTGACTGCGTCGCGGTCGACTGTGGCGGTCAATCGCGCAGGTTTTCTACAGTCAAAAAGCTCTCTTTTTCGTGTTCTATCAAGCCCTAAAAACGTTTAGGTATATATAGAGTCCTAGAAGAAACAGAATCCAAAACAGATAAGGAAACTAGCTGACTACGTCGCGGTCGACCGCGACGGTCGACCGTATCAAACGACAGAGCCCAAAAATCCTACAGAGTATCCACGGTCGATCGCGACGGTCGACCGAACCAAAAACCGAGACCAAAATCCATTATAGAGATTTGTGCAGTCGACCGTCGCGGTCGACCGCCTTCAGCTCCAGGCTCTAACCAGCTCTGTGCACGTTCGCGGTCGACCTCCGCGGTCAACCGTGAAGGCCTCCTTCTGTTTTCTCGATTTTTTCTTCGTCTTCTTGATTCCAGCTTTGGCTTCGACTTTGGGTCTACACTTTAGACTAACAATCTCCCACTTGGAGATCAAAGTGCCATCAGCGAGCTCACTCGAACTCTCCCCTTCTTCGTATGTATCTTCTCCTCCTCGAAAAAACATTTCTTCAATCAATAATATCCCGACGATCTCGCCGATCCTCGTAGTATGGCTCCGCCTTCGTTTTCTACTCGTGAAGGCCAACTGAAGTTACGCACAACTTTAGTTTCTCAATGGTGACTATCTTCGTCAACATGTCCGTCAGATTTTGACTCCCTAAAATCTTCATCAAACGTAACTTTTCGTCTTCAACTAGTGAGCGTATAAAATGGTATTTTACGTCGATATGCTTCGTTATGGTATGATATACTGGATTCTTGGCAAGATGTATAGCGTTCTGGCTATCACAATAAAGAACTCCTCTTTCTTGCTTCAGATCCAACTCTTTCAAATACCCGTTCAACCAGATCATCTCCTTGCTTGTTTCAGTCACCGCGATATACTCAGCCTCGGTTGTAGACAAAATCACAATCTTCTGCAGACGTGAGACCCAGCTCACTGCTGTCGACGCTAAGGTGTAAACATACCCCGTGGTGCTTTGCCTCGTATCATTATCACTGGCGAAGTCCGCATCCACGTATCCCTTCAGCACCAACTCCTTCCTCCTGAAATATAGTGGCTTGTTCGTTTTTCCCCTCAAGTACCGTATTATCCACTTCACGGCCTTCCAATGCTGCTTCATTGGATTGCTTACAAACCTGCTCATAACTCCCACTGCATGGGCGATGTCCGACCTCGTGCAAACCATCGCGTACATGAGACTCCTAATGGCCGAAGAATATGACACCCTGCTCATATGCTCTCTATCTGCATCTGTCTTAGGCGATTGCTCCTCAAATAACTTGAACTGATTTCCAAGGGGCGTGCTAACAACTTTAGTATCCTGCATATTGAACCTCTGAAGTACCTTCTCAATGTATTCAGCTTGGCTCAATCTCAACGTCCCTTTAGCTTCATCCCTACTGATTTGCATCCCTACAATCTGCTTTGTTGCACACAGATTCTTCATTGCAAATTCCTTTGCTAGCTGCTTCTTCAAACTGTTTATATCTTCTAAACACGGTCTTGCTACCAACATGTCATCAACATATAAAAACAAGATAATGAAGCTAGACTCGAACATTTTGAAATAACAGCAATGATCCGAATTGCATCTTCTGTAGCCATTATTTTGCATGAAGTTATCAAACTTCTTATACTACTGTCTCGGAGCCTGTTTTAAGCCATATAAGCTCTTCTTGAGCTTGCACACCATCTCTTCCTTTCTTTCTTCAATGAAGCCAACAGGCTGCTTCATGTAGATTTCTTCATCCAAGTCACCATGAAGAAAGTCAATCTTCACATCTAACTGCTCAAGAAAGAGATCTTCTGTAGCTACCAAACACAACACCACTCTGATGGTTGTGAGCTTCACAACAGAGGAAAATATCTCCGTGTAGTCCACTCATTCCCGCTGTTGAAACCCCTTCACTACTAACCTGGCCTTGAATCTCTTGCTTCCATCACTCTCTTGCTTGACCCGGTAGACCCATTTGTTATGTAAAGCCTTCTTCTGTACAGGTAGCTGGGCTAACTCCCATGTCTCATTAGTGAGTAGAGAATCCATCTCCTCCTGCATCGCATGCTCCCACTGCTGAGATTCACTCACTTGCATTGCCTCTTCATAGCACTCCGACTTACCGCTATCTGTCAATAATAAGTAGTCAAGAGATGAAAGATATCTGGGATTTGGTTTGGGTACCCTGGATGACCTTCTAAGCTCCATGCCCTGGGTAGTTTCTTCTGCACCTAGAGCCTCCTCCGTTCTGTGATCAGAACAAATATCATCACCCCTATCTGAAAGTTCCTTTATATCTATGTACTCGGATCCACCTGCATCCGAAGTGTTGCTCCCACTGCTTTGGTTATCATTGGTATTTTTCCTGTTCTTATACACCACCTCCTCATTCAATATCACGTTCCTGCTTCTGATGATCTTCCTGTTCTTCTCATCCCAAAGACGATACCCGAACTCATCAATGTCGTATCCAATAAATATGTACTTTTGTGACTTAGCCTCTAGCTTGTCCCTGACGTGGTCACTGATATGAACATAAGCCACACAACCAAATACCCGCAGGTGTGAGAGATTGACCTTTTTACCACTCCAAACCTCCTCTAGAATTCCAAAATCTAATGGAACTGAAGGGTCGTGATTAATAAGGTAAGCTGTCGTATACACCGCATCCGTCCAAAATATCTTAGGCAGACCTGCATGTAATCGCATGCTCCTGGTACGCTCTATCAAGGTTCTATTCATCATCTTTGCAATGTCGTTCTGTTGCGGCGTCCCTGAAATAGTCCTCTCTAATCGAATCTCATTCGTAGGACAGAACCTCTTGAACTCCTCTAATTCATATTCTCTACCATTGTCTGATCTCAGACACTTCACCTTCAGATCTGTCTCGTTCTCCACCATGACCTTCCACTTCTTGAAGACTCCGAACACCTTTGACTTGTGCTTCATGACTCATACCTTCCTCGAGTGATCGTCGATGAAGGTGACATAATATATCGAACCGTCAAAAGAAGACATACTGGCTGAACCCCATATATTTGTATGAATCAACTCTAACTTTTGAGCCTTAGGTAGCCTTCCACCCTTCTGGAAACTAACCCTCTTCTGCTTTCCAAAGATGCAGTCTTCACAAACCCCGACTTCCGCGAAGTCGATCCCGGTCGGTTTTTACTGTGAATGTAAGATCTTCACCCCCTTCTCGCTCATGTGCCCTAGCCTGTTATGTCACAAATCTGTACTCTCTTTGCCAGTTACAATTACGAGGGTGTCATTCGCATGTAAGGTGAGGTAGAGAGTCTCGAGTTTGTTGCCTCGGGCAACTATCATCGTACCGTTGGAGATTCTTCACGAATCCCCTGTGAATGTTGAAACATAGCCTTCTGCTCCAAGTTGTCCCACCGAAACAAGATTCATCTTCAGCTTCGGCACGTATCTCATGTTCGTTAAGGTCCACTTAGAGCCTTTCATCTGAATCTGCACTTCACCCTTTCTAATAATATTACATGGCTCGTTATTCCCTAAATATATTTTTTCAAAGTTCCCTGCTACATAATTCTGAAGAAGCTTTTTGTTAGCAGTGGCGTGGAAAGAGGCTCCTGAGTCGATGACCCAAGAATCCGAGTCGCTGTTCATAGCAAGAATCAAGGCATCCTGCACAATATGAGCCTGCTGCTCACCCGCTTTCTTCTTTGGACTCTTGCAGACTGAAGACATATGGCCCTCCTGGCCGCAGTTCCAACACTTCCCTTTGATAGGCCTAACATTCGAGTTCGACATCTTCTTTACTGATTTCGACCGATTCCTGTTCTGTTTCCTTTCTTCTGGCTTCTGCCTCTCTGCTCGAAACATAGAGCTGAATCTAAACCTTCTGATTTGGACGATTTTCTTCTAACCTCCTCGGATAGAATTATGCTAACCACCTCACTCAGCTTTAACCTTTTTTTCCCCGCTGAATTGCTGATTGTCGTCACACAACCTATCCAACTATCCGGTAACTAAGATAGTAACAATAGGGTCTGTACTTCGTCATCAAACGTGATGTCTACAGAGATAAGCTGATCAACAATCGTGTTGAACTCGCTGAGGTGCATCGTGAAGGACCGTCCTTCTGTCATCTTGAGGTTAAAAAAAGTTTTGACGAGATGCACCTTGTTTGCTGCCGACGGTTACTCGTACATCTTCGCGAGTGCTTCCATAAGCCCCACCGTCGTCTTCTTCTTTAATATATTGTGGGCTACTGATTTGACGAGCAACAACCGGATTTGCCCTAAAGCCTTCCTATCGTATCTCCCAATCACCATCTGGCTCCTCTTTCTTCTGTCCCTTCTCTTTGCCCATCAACGGGCGATACAAGTCCTTCTGGTACAGATAGTCCTTCATCTGCGACTTCCAGTATGCAAAGTTTGAACCGTCAAACTTCTCGATCTTTGATTTGTTTTCCTCTGCCATGGCTTTCACACAAATTGCTGAACGAAACTTTGATACCAGTTGTTGGGAATTCAAAACAATCAATCGAATCCTTGTCCTTCTGGACCTTGTGTTGAAAGTAGGAAAGTA